TGGTATCTAAGACGGATTTATGCAGATGAATTTGAAAATTGGTATTGGATATGGATGTCACTATTGGTATCTGTGCTTGGGAACAAGCGCTGATTTTGGGATACGCGTACTATAATTGAATTAAATGTTACTTAAATTAGTTATCGGGGAAATTACAGATCTGAAATTCGATATTGAAGTCACTGTTGATTTCTAGAAATATGCATTATTACATTGAAATAATTTTGGATAGATAAAATTCTATGTGGATTTTTTCAGGAAAAATTACTAATATCCTCCTCGGAAAATTTCAAAATGAAAGATTTTCAAGACTTTTTGGTGCAAGAGGTAAAAATTTTCTTATTATTATTTCCGAAAAAGAAAAAACTTGAATAACATGTAAAGCCCTGAATGTCTAAAAATTTCGTACGGTGTATAAAGTTTCAATTAAAACAAGTAAAAACGCTGTAAGTTCGACCGGGGTGAACTTTGATTACCCTCCACCATTTGGAACGAATTTGGCAATTCTCAAAAATAATAAAATCCGTTAAAAATTCCGTTAAAATCGTAAAAATACCGAATGTAGCTGTTATTTTAGGGTCTATACGACGATATGGACCTGCATAGGCAACTTTTGTCATAAGCCATCACAATATTCAAATGCGAAGCTTAAAAAAATCGGTGAATAATGTAGCTAAAATCATCAAAATACCGAATATCAGGAGAACCAATCATCAATCTACTTCAATTCGTTCGGAAGCTACAGTGATTTCCACAGACGGATAGACGGACGGACATAGACATAGAATTTCATAGAATTTGATCAAGAATATATATATATCCGTTGTGGGGTCTAAAATGTATATTTCGAGGTGTTACAAACGGAATGACAAACATAATATACCCTCCATACTATGGTGGAGGGCATAAAAATTGTTCAGTTTGACAATTTGTGCATTTTGAATACTAACCGAATCGACAATTTTAAAGCGGACTTTTCGCTGACGAAGTAGCGGTCACTCGCTAGTTGTTTTACATTTTGGGCTCTTATTAGATACAGGAGGAACTGTATATGGGTACAGTATTTATTATATGGGTCCAGTATTCGATCATTTTATTCAGCCCGAATTATTCTATCTGCTGTTGCCCTACTATGTGCAGCTTGTTTTTTCGTTTTCTAATATAGGTTTCAGAATCTAAGCCAGTGTATTTATTTAATCGGCACGTGGAACATTTGTCAGTGTTATGTCGATTCATTGTATTTTACATTTAATTTTCAATGAAATTATTTCCTGTCCCCTTCCCACTACAATATTAGATTTGACCCCATTCACATGACCAATTTATGAATGAGAAAAAGAAAATCTTCTTAAACAATAAAATGAAAAAATACCCCCCCTTTGGATATTTATTAATCATTCGAACATTATACAATTAACATGTGTACAAGCCGGCTTTGTTTGCATAATTCTGTCTTGAATGAGGATTAAATATTTTTGGAGGCAAAGACATATTACAAAATTAATTTTTACTTTAATAAATTACACTGTCAGCTTAGGCGAATGAAATATTAGTGGGGCTAGAAACTTAATACCCGCTCTATTTAGTTTCTGTTTTTTCCTCATTTGGCAAGTGGTATTTGGCGTATACCGTAACTCATTTCGACGGCTAATAACAAACTTGTCTCATTACCAAATACCTATGTATATATTTTTTTCATAAGTGGCTAACAGCCCAGGACTAGTTTTGATTTTTGTTAATAATATGACGATGGGATATGTGAATATATACGGGTTCAATAAAAAAATTTGCAACAAAGTCAATAGCCATAATTTTTAAATTTTATTGAATGAAAGCAAAAAATGTTGGAAATAGTCTCCAATTTTAGAATAAGTTTAGATTTGTTCGAATTGGTCACCTTTGGCACGAATTATGGCCTTCCAATGGCCAATGAAACCGTCACACCTACCCGATTGTTGCCCTGCAGTATTTTGGCACTTTCCCGGCCTTGCTTTCTAGGCACAATAGTCCAACGGATTGGTATCCGGAGATTTTGGTGGCCATTGTGCGCTGGAAATGAAGCGAGGTACCCCATTTTGTAACCATTCTTGGGTGGCGCGTGCTGAGTGCGATGGTGCTGAGTCCTGTTGGAATGTACAAGGTCTGTGGCCAAAATGGCAAGGCTTTAATACACCCTCCAGAATATTTTCGCTATAATATTCAGCTTTTATTCTGATGCCACGGTCGTTTAATACGAGCGGAGAGCGGCCATCGGCTGATATGGCGGGCCACAAACTACTGCTGGCCGGCACTTGAGTTCTGGTGACCAACCGAGGGTGAACATTTTCAGCTGACCTCTTTGGCAAGTAAACACGATCATTTTGTTTGTTTACAAACTGCTGGACAACGAATGTTTCCTCATCGGAGAAAACCAAATTCGGCAGTTCACCACTTTCGGCCAAGCGGGGCAACTCGTTAGCTCTTTTGAGTCTATTTTCTTTCTTTTGGGGTGCAAGTTACATTATATTGGAATTTCAATGGCTTTACCCCGAGCAAATTTTTCAATATTTGCCGAATAGAATATTGACATATGTTCAGCTCACGCGCCATTTTTCGGCCACTGCGAAGCGAGTTTCGATCAAGTCGCTTTCTTGACGTCGGGCTACGCTACCAGTATCATGGTAACGAGCGATGATACGAGACACAAAAAATTTATTCACATTTAAATGCTGGAGTGCTCTAACGGTAGCCACTTGAGGGTTTCCAGCCAAATATAAAGAAATCACACTATCACTCTTGAATTCCATCTTACCCTGTAGGTAGCTGTTCGGGAGTAGTAGCTTTGGAATGCGACGAAGACACAGATAAGGACGACGAAGACGTGCTCTCGCTGGGGAATATAAAAAACTTTTTGCAAAATTAAATTAACCCACGTCCTCAACATTGAATTTTAAAAATAAAGTTCTGAACACGAAATATTCATTTTTTAGTAGTCCTTGAAAAATATTTAAAAAAGATCTTATCCTTTTTAGGCATTTGAAAAAACCAAAAAAAAAATTCTCGATAATAACATTTTTAAAAAAATTGTTAATTCTTGAAAAATAATTAAAAAAATCCTCGACTTTTGATAGCCCTTGAAAAAATACTTAAAAAAATCTTCTATAATAAATAATCCTTAAAAAATTGCTTTCAGAAAATCCACACCTATTAATAGGCCTTGAAATATATTTTTCTAAAATCCACTTCCATTAATAGCTCTTGAAAAATATTTTCAAGAAACTTTTTTGCAAAATGGTATTGACCTACGGCCTTAACATTGAATTTTAAAAATAAAGTTCCACGAATCATAGTCATATCCATTGTCCTTGAAAATAATTAAAAAAATCTAATCCTTTTTAAGCCCTTGGAAAAATTAAAAAAAAAGAATCCTCAATAATAATCATTGAAAATATTTCAAATATTTATTTTGTATAATCAAAAAAATATCCACGACTTTTCATAGCCCTAGAAAAATACTTTAAAAAATCTACTATAATAAGTATTCTTTAAAAAAGTTTCTAAAAATCTGCACCTAATAAAAGGCCTTGAAAAATATTTTTAAAAATCCACCTTCATTAATACCACTTGAAAGGGACCTTTTTTGCAAAATTGAATTAATCCACGGCCTCAACATTGAATCTTAAAAATAAAGATCCGCACACAAATCATTGTCCTTGAAAAATATTTTTTAAAAATCCAAAACTTCTGATAGCCCTTGAAAATTAACAAGTTAAAAAGCAGTAAGTTCGGCCGGGCCGAACTTTTAATACCCTCCACCATTTGCAACGAATTTGGAAATTTTCAAAAAATAAAATCCTTAAAAAATTCTGTTAAAATTTTAAAAATACCGAATATAGCCGTTATATTGGGGTCTATACGACGTGGACATACATATGCATTGTTTGTCATAAGCCATTACCATATTCAAATTCGAAACTGGACCCGCACCGACAATTTTCTGTCACAGACTGTAGTTCCCATGACGAACTTCAAATACCAAATTTTAAACAATTCCGGTTAATAATGTCGCTAAAATCATCAAAATACCGAACATAGCGAGGTGCCGTTATATGGGGGCTATACGAAGACGTGGACCTGCACAGACAATTTTCTGTCTTAGGGTGTAGTATCCATTTGGAACTTTAAATACCAAATTTGAAACAATTCCGGTGAATAACGTCGCTAAAATCATCAAAATACCGAATATTGGGGGGGTTACCGTTATATGGGAGCTATATGAAAACGTGGACCTACATGGTCCATTTACGAACTTAACCTGCCTACTGGAAAAATAAACATGTGTGCAAAATTTTAGACATCTATCTCAATTCATTCGAAAGATAGCGTGATTACAACAGACAGACGGACAGACAGACGGACAGACAGACAGACGGACATCGCTAAATCGACTTAGAATTTTACGCTGATCAAGAATATATATACTTTGTTGGGTCTGACATGAGTATTTCGAGGAGTTACAAACGGAATGACAAAGTTAATATACCCTCCATAGTATGGTGGACGGTATAAAAAAAAACTTCGATAATTATTCTTGAAAAATATTTAAAAAAAATGTCCGATATTCATTGATTCTTACAAAATAATAGAAAGAAAATCCACGACTGTTGATAGTCCTTACAAAATACTTAAAAAACTCCTATATTAATTAATAATTAACAAATTGTTTTCAAGAAATCCACACCTATTAATAGGTCTTGAAAAATATTTTTAAAAAATCCTCCGCTGTCCATAATAATGCAATCCAGTCTAAGTATTTTTTTTTAATTTTTATCTGTTTTTATTTCTCTGACAGATTAAAGCCAAAAAATAGAATAAAAATGACTCGGGTCACACAAGGTAGAGATGGGAAACTTTATGATTCTAATTCAAATTCATTTAAGTTCCAAAGAACTTATGTCTAGTTCGAATCCACCTGCAGAGCTACACTACAGAGTTTTCTTGTTTCGCTTTTTTGTTTTCAGGGTCGCATCACCTCTTTCAACTACTAATGATGATCATAACAAAGATGATATTTGATTTGATTTATATGCCCAGCATTTGGAATGGCTACCTGTTTCTGTTTCTGTTGTTGGATGTTATTGCTGCTGTTGCTGTTACCATTAATGATTCACTGTGTTACGTCGATTTCGAGAAAAAAAATAATACTTTTGAACATGCCACAGCAGCGTATCGTAAATCTCGTGTCTGAGCTGTGGTTATTGATAGCTGCCCATTAAGGTCAAGTATTAATTTAATTTGTTGTTTGATGCTTAATTTAATGATTGTTTGGAACGACGCCAGAGCGATGAGACGATGTTCACTTCGCTGCATGATCGAGAAAACAGGGAAAAGAGAAGGGATTAAAAACAAAGTTAAATGTTTATTTATTTAAAGTTGTCGGCAGGCCTAAGAGTTTTGTATGGGTTTAGCATTTCTTGTGAGCGACTCATAAAACAAATTAACTTTATTATGATTGTTACACGTTCAACTAATTACGAAGTTAGAAAGGGGGCAGTTAGGTTCCCCCATTGAGACAAACTTGGGTATTTGAATAATATGCAACAGAGTTTCTCATGGTATGTCCTGGTTGTTTTTTATGTTGCGCTGATAAAAATACTTCAATTGAAAACTTTTACAAAAAAACCAGTAAGGAAAGGTCAAAAGTCGGGTGGGGCCGACTATATGATACCCTACACCACTATGCGTATTTAGTACAGCTCCCGTAACAAAAAAGTTTATATTGGGAATGTGAAGTAGATCATACCAACTATGAACCTTATTTGAATGCAATGGTTGATGGGTTTAGAGTAGTGACAATTTGGGAACTATGTCCAACTCTGATTCGATTTTCAACAAACCGAGCCAAGTTCTCCAAATGGAAAAGTTCGGTTGAATGAGAAACAAGTAAAAACCTGTAAAGAAAGTCTTAAAGTCTGGCGGGCCGACTTTATGATACCCTACACCACTTTGATAATTTAGTAGAGCTCCGCATAACAATTAAAAGTTTTTATAGGAGAATTCAATCATACACGCCATGATTATAATTATAATTTAAAGTTCAAATGACTAAATATGCCGACGCATTTGTATCTTTTAAATTCGGACTAATTCGGACTATGTATTGCCTATTTGGAGCACAATTAATTTGAAATCGGATAAAGATATATATGGGAGCTATAGCCAAATCGGAATCGACCTCGATAAAATTTGGCAAAGATATTTCTAAGCTGTATTTTATGTATTTCCCTGAATATCGTTGTTACGGGATGCATATAACGGCTGTGGGTAACAAATATAACAAATCGGATGAACAGTATATATGGGAGCTATATCTATATCTGAACCGATCTTTACCAAATTTGACATACTAGCTTCTAGACTCTATTAGGTCGTAAGTGCCAAATTCCATCCCATTTGGACAAATTATACGTTTGGTGCACAGTAAAGGGCAAATCGGACGAAGTTATATATGGGAGCTATATCCAAATCTGAACCGATCTCGATAAAATTTAGCAAATGTATTTCTGAGCTGTATTTGATATATTTCCCTGAATATTGTTGTTACCGAGAGCATATTACGGCTGCGGAGGACAAAAATATCAAATCGGATGAACAATATACATGGGAGCTATAGCTATATCTGAACCGATTTCGATCAATTTTTGCATACTTATTTTCAGGCCTAATCTGGTTGTATGTGCAGAATTTCATACTATTCGGGCTGATATTACACGTTTGGTGCACAATAAAAGGCAAATCGGACGAAGATATATATGGAAGCTGTATTTAAATTTGAACCGATTTTCACCAATTGCAATAGGGTTCGATTCGTCCTAGGGGCAAACAAATATTGTTTGCAAAATTTCATATCAATCGGATAATACATGCAACCTGCATTTTGTTCATAAGAATACATGGACAGACGGACGGACTGATGTGCACAAATCGACTCAAAAAGTAATTCTATGAAGATCCTCAGAAGTAAATATGGGTCTATCTCGCTTCCTTCTCCATGTTACAAACAAATGCACAAAGACAGAATACCTTTACCACTATTTTCTGTAGTGTATAACAAATATGAAAGAAGTTACCGAAAAATGAAGTTACCAATGGCGCAAAAAGATATCTAAGGAGACTGATATCTTCTCCATGGAAGCTTAACCTCAGTCCAGCCTTCAGTGAGAGGTTATACCTCAGACTCCGAATCTGACGGCAATAACACAACCGTTGTGCCAATCCCTAAAATCGTGGGAACGACTATAGATGAAGTGAGTGATAGCTTAACGAAATTCAGAAATAAACGAAGTAGTGGTCTGCGGCTCCACGACAAACATTCAGGGAGCAACTGGCAAGCAAAAACGCAAGGTCGCAGGATGTTCAAAAGGGGGTTACGGAAACTTTCAACACTTTCTTGGAAGCGAGGAAAAGGATCAGGTCTCCTAAGGTGCTGAACACTGTGATGTCGCGAAAAAGAAAAAGAGATTCCCAACGAGGACAAAGTGAGTTCGACCATTGAAAAGGCGAGCCCGGTCGTGAAATCAATTGCTAAGCCTGGGGGTTTTGCGGAAAAATGCCGGACCCGGCATAAGAGGAAACGGACGGTTAGAAAATGTAAGAAGCCATTATCTAACGCTAAAGTAGTCAAGAAACCCTGTGGCCACGAAATGCAGTACGTATTGATAAACACCAATATAGGTTCAGGTAATTTACCCAAAGACCACTTAAAAATTATCGAGGAAATGGTCAAGAATAAAATTTTGGATCACATATTGAAAGGTGGTGATCCAATTACCATCATGTGCAGCGGAATAAGGAAGAACAACATTTTCTTCAAATTTGCCCCAAATGCATACATTGCCTCCATAAAGAAAATTATTAGCAAGATAGAACTCCCTGGTGAGGAAAAGATAAATTTCTCGGTTTACTAACGGTCCCTTTACTAGGTCCCTTTGGACCAAATCCGTTTCAGGACATCTGAAGTCGATGGCTTCTGGAATATTGGCCTTAAAAGCGTCAGTTGTCCCTCTCGCACCCCGACCCACATAAGTTCTGCGACTGATAATGCGATCTTCAAAAGCAGGGCGCAAACAATCCTGTTGTCTTCAATTTTTGTGAACAAAAATTGCTTCAACGTGGCCCGATAATGTAACGGGCACTCTTTGATCATTTTGGAGAAAAAAAAATGACCCAATTATGCATCTGGGCCAACATACGCACCGAACAGGGACTCGTTTTGAACGCATCAGATTTTTAATGTATGTACAGAAAGTACTCCAAATGCGACAATTTCGCTTGTTTTCATGCGGACGCACTTTTCGGACACATTCTGAAATACAATATTCTCTCAGCAGAAGGATAAAACTAATTATCTCTTAAATCAGATATTATATAAGTGTCTGCATTCACAAAATAAGCACCACCATATGGAACGAATTTTAAAGTTTTCAAAAAAAAAAAATTAAATCCTTTAAAAATAATCTTAAAAATGCCGAATATAGGAAGTCCCCGTTGTATTGGGGTCTATACGAAGTCGTGGACCTGCATAGGCAATTTTTGACATAGGCCACTACAATATTCAAATATGAAACTTGAAAAAATCCGGTAAATAATGTAGCTAAAATCAAGGAAGGAAGGAGGAAATAGAAGACCTAAACCTACGTAGTAAATTTTCTGTCATAGGCTGTAGTACCCATTAGTCAATTTTCCGTCACATTTCCATTAGGAAATTCAATTCCGGCGAATAATGTCGCTAAAATCATCTAAATACCGAGTATAAGGTAAAAATCGGTCCACGATATCATATAACCCCCGATATTCGGTATTTTGATGATTGTAGCCAAATTTGTCAATGGAAATGTTTGAAAATCCACGCAAGGAGTTCCTTTTGCGTACTTTTCCCCCTGGTATTGTTTATATAGATCCACGATATCGTGTAGCCCCCATATAACGGTACCTCCCGATATTCGGTATTTTAATGATTTCAGCAACATTATTCACCGGAATTGTTTCAAATGAAATCTTTGAAATTCGAAATGGATACTACAGGCTAAGACAGAAAATTGTCTATGCAGGTCCACGTCTTCGTATAGCCCCCATATAACGTTACCCCCCTATATTCGGTATTTTAATGATCTTGGCGTCATTATTCAACGGAATGGTTTCAAATTACGTATTTAGAGTTCGTAATGAGAAAATTGTCTATTCAGGTCCTGGTCGTATAGCTCCGATCGTATAGCTCCGATCTAACGTTACCTCCCTATATACGATATTTTGATGATTTTTTGCTACATTGGATTTTATGGATTTTATGGATTTTATTTTTTGAAAATTTCCAAATTCTTTCCAAATGGTGGAGGGTATTTAAAGTTCGGCCTGGCCGAAAATGTTTTTTTCTTATGGACATTGCAGTCCCTTGCAGTTTTATTTAAAATAGATTTTAGGGATTCCAAGAACTAATTCAAATGTTTATTTTGAGTTCCTTGGTAATTTCACTTATTTGCGGTTCACTCACTTTGCCACAAGTCCAATAAACTCTAATGACATACCAGCGACGTCTCATGTTAATTCGGACGGAGGTATTTTGTTCATTAAGAAGATTATCATCCATTAGCTAAATTTAATGGCTCAACACGAGTTGTTCACAAATAACGAAATGTTTCCCCACCAAATCGCATCAATTAATCTCAGCTTAAAAGGTAAACGAAAATTAAAATTCACCCAAAAAAAAGTGAAGATACCCAAAAAAAAAACAGAAATTAAATAAAGAAGCTTAACAGCGATTGCGATTTTAATGATGAAAACATGGTTTGAGATGAACGTAATGATGTCGGCACCAATACAAAATGAAGTTACAAAAAAGTGTAGGGGACAATAAACTCTCTTTATTGGCAGTTTAATGGTACCGAGAGATGTGCAGGAAAGATTGTTTAGAACGCAGGGAGATGAGGAACATTATTTGCTCCCAGACTCAATACCATGTTCGACAGCGATTTGCCAGTTGGGAATGTCAGATACTCTAGAAACTTAGGTGGCAATTTGGGCTTTCATCAGGCTGTAACATGGGCATGCGCTGAAGCATACAATACAAGTACGACCCGCATTTTGAACCACCCCATTCAAATAAAATTGTTTTACAATTACGCACGTATTTCCGCATTTCCAATATTAGGCTTATTTTCACATTCATAAGCCATTTTTGAAATTTTGTTAATTACAAGTTGTCGTCTTTGACATTCCTCCCGTAATCATTAATTTCTCATTTACTGTCAAACAAAATTTAAAAAAATATGTTTGAACAAGTAAAAAAGCTGTAAGTTCGGCCGGGCCGAACTTTGATTACCCTCCA